AAGCGCGCACAAAGAACTTTCCGGTACTACTTTGTACGGCCAAGCTTGCACAAAGTACTCCCAGTATATATTGCTTTGTATTACAAAGCTTGTGCAAGGCACTTCCCAGTACCACTTTGTGCTACAAAGCTTGCACAAGGAACTTCCCAGTACTACTTTGTACTGCAAAGCTTGCACAAGGCACTTCCCAGCACTACTTTGTACTACAAAGCTTGCACAGAATAATTCCCAGTACTACTTTGTACTTCAAAACTTGCACAAGGCACTTCCCAGTACCACTTTGGACTACCAAGCTTGCACAAGGCACTCCCCCGTACAACATTGTACTACAATGCTTGCACAAAGTACTTACCAGTACTACTTTGTACTACAAAGATTCCCCCCCGGCCCGGAGAAACAAATCTGTCCCGGAACTTCCCGGCCCCCAATTCCTAGCGACCCTTCTCTGCCACTAAATGAATCTATGGACCTTTCTTCTGCGCCACTAAGTTCGTTTACGGGAGCTTTTTCTGCAACTCGGGGAGCCCCCCGTCAGCATAATCATTTATCATTTTTAGTATTAGTATTTTTTATTTTTACTGTTTGTTATTATTGTTTTTATGATTATTTTTACTACCTTGCGGAAATAATAGTGCACAGCAAATCTGCCAATTATTTTTTTGGCGGGGAAATACTGTTCAACCGCAAATCGGTTGATTACTATTTTCCTCCTCCTCCTCCTCCTTGCCAAAACGACAATCTATATTATTGCCTCCCTCCACCCCCTTTGAAGATAACAATAATCACACCCCTCCTCACCCCCGTCCCCTCCCGACCTTCAATGGCAGCTCCTCCTCCTCCTCCTGCTCCTCCTCCTCGTCCTCCTCCTCCTTGCCAAGCGACAATATACATACATACACACATATATATATATATGTGTATGTATATATATATGTATATATGTATATATGTATATGTATATATATATATGTATACAGTATATATATGTATATATATATATATATGTATGTATATATATATGTATATATGTATATATGTATATATGTATATATGTATATATGTATATGTATATATATATATATGTATATATATGTATATATATATATATATGTATATATATATGTATATATATATATGTATATATATATGTATATATAAATATATACATATGTGTGTATAAAACGATATATGTATATATATATATACTATTGCCTCTCCCCCCACCCATTTGAAAAATAGGGTTTCGAACGCGGCCTCCAATCATCATTTCTCACTGTGTTCTCGTTGCTTCCAACTGCACAAGAATTGTGCGCTCTCAATACTGGTGCGGACATTTGCTGCATATGTCAGTTTGTTTCAAAACTGATTTTTTTGACTTCTTCATTGTGTCTTCACTGGAGGCATCTCTTGGTTCCTATTCGAATTCGTCATTAAAGGGATGTTCGTCTCAACTGACAATTTGTCAAACTGTTCGAATCTGCTGGGAAGGCCCACGGATTTTTGTCCTGTTACATACATCCACAACGGTTTCTTGAATGCCTCTGTGGCCGTTGACCTTGTGATGATGACATCAGTATACCACACTGAAATTCAACGAAGCTGTCATGGTTGAAACAGCATCTTCAACTTCGCAGCAACGCGACAGAGCAGCATCTTCAACGTAGCAACTGCACTCATCAAGCAATGCAAACCAAACGTTATTAGCTCCTCTACCCCCCACCCCCTACCCATCTGTATCCACAAAGCAAGAATAGAGGTTCCTGGAGGCTCCGGGGAACTTCCAGCCTTGCGCCTATGATATACACATGCGACGTACGAGATAGTGTGGCATGATATGATATGATACGATACGATATGATCTATGATATGAAATGCGTATATACATATATATATATATAGAGATAGATGCGCGATATATACAAGGTACTTTTCTAAATACACAGATACGTAAGATGGATTCAATATATAATATAATCTGTTTGTAGCAGGCTGCTGCTGGCTCTGGTACCACTCGCGTTTTAGAGCGTCAAGCCGTTTGGCCTGCCTAGTGTATACGAGTCCGCAACTGCAACTCCTCGTCAAATACCGTCAATCCAATCAGTGCTTCCACTATGATCATTTTGGCAGGGCATGGCAAGATTGCAAGGCTGGTAATTTTCCACAATGTTCAGCCAGCCCTAGGTCAGCTCCTACTCACATGTTCAGTTGAAGAGATGCAACTGGTGCAAGCGGTGCAACCAATGCAACGTGCCACCTAGCATTACATCCGTTACTGCAAACTACAGCGAAGGAAATGGCCCTGCTTTTCTCCGTGAAACTCATATGACTTGCATTCGCTCCAAGGTCAGAAGACACCAGGAATTTTACCAAAAACATCAGCTGAGAGAATGTGAAAAAAGCATCCACTGCATCAAGAACTTCTTGGCGCCTGACAAAGGATGAAATCTGTTACCTATGGTGCTCAAAGTCCTACATTCTACCTCATGTATCCTCATGTGAAAAAATGCATTCCAACTTAAGCAGTGAATATGGGAGCAGGGATAGTATTTGACAATGTGAACCCACTCCCTGTCTGAGTTTCCAAGCGCGTAGTTCGCAGATGTGTACTTAGTGACTGCATTTGATTTTTTGCCTGTTTACTGATTACTGTTTACTGTATATAAGTGTACTGTATACTGGATGTGTTGATATGGCGATGGGCGGGCAAATAATCGCAGGAAGTTTAGAAGCCAAACTTCCGACAATATGGACCGATGAAAAAGCAGAGCTATAAAGAGTCAGAGAAGAGAAAAGAAGAAAGAAGATCAGAGAAAAGAAAGAGTCAGAAGAAAGAAGATGCAGGCGCGCCAAAAAAAGAAAAGTCGCACAAAACGGCGTTTTTCAAATGTTTTGGGGCTCCGGAGGGTCGAAAAGTAGGCTCGCTAAAGCGGCAGGTGCGGAGCCATGTGGTCAGATGAGAGATGAACAACTGCACGCCGTTGTGGCCCGAAGCACATGTCGAAGTTAATAATTTGGAAGTTAAGCTGTTGAAAAAGCGCACGCCTTTGTAGCACGAAGCACATTTCGCTTTAAAAGTGTTAAAAACTGACGGTCTCGGACCACTTCTTGAAGTTAGGATGTGGTCTTGCGTGGCAGGCGCCAGGGATTCTGCACATCCCCAAAGGTGAGCAAACGCAAGGGTTTTGTAGCAGTTTCAAAAGCGTTGGCAGGGGTGGGCATTTGAAGAGGATCTACAAAGATGCATGTTGCATGGCAGGCACAGCACAAGAGACACATGAGTCAGACACGTTTGGAGGTCCGGGCCGTGATTTCCTGAGAGGGGTCGCATTTGGAGCGTTAAATCTTCAGGTTTGCTAAGATGATTTTGCGTGACAGGTGCGGCACTTCGTATGACCTGGCTTCACTTTTTCGTGGCAAGCGCAGTACTTTAGATGGAATGAAAAAATCGCAAATCGCAATGGTACGAGGCCGTCAGCTCTGCACTCAACTTTCGATTCTTGAAGGAAGTCTCGCAGAACTGCTTCGTTTTTGATGTTGTCAAAATCGAAAATGGAGGAAGTCTCGCAGAAACGCTTCGTTTTTGACGTTGCCAAGCTCAAAGAAAGTCTCGCAGAATTGCTGCGTGCTTGATGTTGTCAAGTTCAAAAATTGAGGAAGTCTCGCGGAGAGATAGAGAGATGGATAGATAGACAGATAGAAAGATAAATAGATAGAAAGATAGACAGATAGAGAGATAAACAGATAGGAAGATAGATAGACAACTGCAACTACAACTACACTACGATACACTACGCTACGCTACGCTACACTGCGGCGACAACAACAACAACAACAACAACAACAACAACAACAACTGCAGCAACTGCAACAACTGCAACAGCTGCGGCTGCAACAACTACAACTACAACTACAGTAAGTACGACAACAACAACATTAACAAGTACGACTACGATTACAGCGACAACTACAACTTCAACTACACTACAAGTACAACGACAACTGCAACTTCAATCACAACTACAATACCACTACACCACACTACAGCTACAACTGCAACTATCATAAGGAGAGGTGGTTTGCTAAAATATGACCATATATTGGGACTCTATATGGGCCTGCAGGTTACCCAGTGCATAGTGGCATAGCGTGGAAATTTCAACGAGGCTGACCATTCCAAGTTGTAGTTGTGTGATTGCAGCCTGCAAATTATGTAACTAGATAGATGGATGAATAGAGCCATGGATGGATAGGAAGATGGGCAGCCTGACAATCCAACCATTTGTCGATCCAGCAGTGGAGTCGCTCTGCCATCCATGATTCACACAGCCAAAGTCTTCTATGGGTTTCTTATTTTTGAAACGTCCGCCGCCGCCTTGTGCGGTACTACTGGTATCAAATAATATCAAACGTATAGCGGGAAATACAACATGCGTAGGTCACTGAAATTTGCACTGGTAGGACATGATCAACCGCAAGCAACGGTGTGTGAGAGACGGTGCGCTAGCATCGCTGTTGGAAAACGAACGTTGCCAGGACATGCTGTTGGGAACGATTTGAGCCCACGCATTGAATTGCAGTTGCAATAGTGAATTTCGTTCCATGGCAGACAACTAAAATCCGCGTGGTTGAATTTTTCCATTCCCTTTTGCTTCCTTGGCAATGAAGAAAGATCCAGCACAGGCCCTTTGAAATTTGATATCGATGTTCGTATCCTGGCTAGAGGACAGTCATGTGGCACATGGAGCTCTTGAAGAGGCAAGACAAAACGCGAAACGTCTTGCAAACCAATCCAAACAGCTTGCAAATGTGGTTCAATCCGTTTCTTGCTACATTCGGACAGGCGTGGGCCCAGTGTTGGAAGGACTACTGGCCGTTCACTACGAAACCAGCCCAAACCCTACGTACCAGTATTTGTGGAGTTAGTTTGAATTGCTTGATGTCATGTGGCTCAACTACACGTTGTGCTCGCAATCTTTTTTGTCCGCAGTTGGCTCCAGGGTTCACCAAAATCAGTTTCAAACGAATCAATGAGCCTTCGACACCTGTACCTCCGAGCTGCATCATTCTGGATACTGCTTGACTTTACAGATGGTTTCTGTCAGAATGTTTCTTCGGAACCGATTTTTAGCAGTTTAGTCTGTCTTTTCGCTTGTTGATATATTTTGGATGTGATTCAAGGTGAAGTCTTTGCTTTTGAGATGTCCTTCTTCAAAGTGGTTCCACATTGTCACAGAAAGGCAGACTAGCTTGAAGTATCTTGAATGTTCTAAGTTCTAAGTAAATGTTGTGACGTAAGCTGCGAGGCTCCAGTGCGATTGCCGGCAACCCTTGTGATGGAGAAGTCCTTTTGGTCCTTTTTCTCTACATTTACGATGAATCGTTTCGCATTCAGCATGCAGCAAGGCAGTTGCAAGGCTGTAGAGAACCATTGCCTTGAACGACCACTGACAGCTGTGGAATGTGCAGCTGAATGCCTCTTGGCATCAATATTTTTCTTTCTGGAAGTCAGGGTGCGAGAGAGAAGACGGAAGAATCGTCGCAAAAGATGGGGGTTCTTCAAGGTACATCGAAAGACATCTCTCACACAAAACACTTAAGTTATGTTCCTCCACGCATGCTTCATGTGTGTGTGTGTTTCCTGTCTTCTCTTGTGCAGGCGAGGAGCACGGTGATTGCGTTGCATTCGATAGGCCCAATGTCTTCGGCAAAGCAGGGTGTTGTTGGTACCCGGGTGGTCAGGCTGTTGTTGCAGATGGATCGGTGGGGAAAAAGTGCTTCATGCGGTCAAAGTCAGATGGTGAACAGAACTTGTACTTTGGTGAAGTTTGGCGTCAACCTGCTTTCTTCAGCACAGCCCACCTATCCACACAAGCTGATGAAGGTGCAGCCGTAGCTGTCATGGACATATGCTTGCCATTGTCACACTGTAGCTTTCGCATCTTCAATTGCGATGGGAAACCGCTTTATGCCTTGGAAGCCAAAATGTTGCCTTCCCTAAGCAGTCCTTTGGAACTGATCTGGTCGTATGAGATCAGAAACTCCAGTGGAGAGTACATCGGAAGAACATCAGAGCTTCAAAGCGGGTATCAGCCGATTGAGCTGTACGATGCGAAAGGCCGCAATGTTGCAACGCTGTCTACTGTTTGGACATTTTGGTCAGCAATAAGCACTGGAAACTGGTACATCAACAACGAGTTTCCAAGTCTGGATCTTTCTGTAACACCGGTGCTTGATGCGAGACTTGTCACATTCGTAGCTGCGCACCAATTTGCCACGCAGGGTTGGTTCGGCCCATTCTGGACTGGTATCATTTGGTGTCTTGCTCTTTTCATAATAGGCATAGCACTGAAGCGCATCGCATTGCCTTGGTTTCAATGGCAGTACGAGCCAATGTTTGAGAGAGACGCAAGAGGTGTGTGGTGCACTTCGGAGGAAACTATCGAGGAGCCGAAACAGAGAGCTTATCGGGTTTGTTGAGAGTTCTAGACCCTTCTAGGGTAGCATTAAACTATATTCTTGTGATTTCTTGTGATTAATGTACTTGTTTGATCTTGGTTGGACTGCAGTTGTTTCAACAAATGCGATTCCAGTGTGCATTGACATTGACTGTGACTAAGTAAGAGTCATCAGGTTTCACCCTTGAACAGAAAAAGTAAGCGCACCTCCGCATGCACCACCAGTGTGCAGAAATCACAAATCTTCTCCGGTAGCATGTGAGAACAGATCGGTGTACTTCTCCAGGATCAAAAGAACCGAAAAGAACCGAAAAGAATTATAGCAAAAGAAGTAACTGTTTTTCAAACGCTTTTTTCCCGCTTCAATTCCAAGGTGCATAGGTGCAAGGCGGCCAAAGATTTTTGTACTCACAGGAGCAGCCAAGCTGCGGCACGTAGTGTGAGTCCAGCTGCGCAAATCTGCGTGACAGAGTTTGCCTGAAAAGTGCTGCCCGCGGCCCTCTGAAAAGTCAAAGTTTGACTGGAAAAATGTTATATCATATTTTTTTCTTCTATCTATCTCCAGTCCAGTGTCAATCTGATCTGTGCTTCAGGGTGTTTCATAACTGTTGAGGAGTTGCGGGGAGTGGTGGGAGTCTTCGAGAGTCGTGGGGAATGAGTCCAGGTGGTCCACGTCTCTTTGCGTCTAAGGATCTGGACACCCGCTGGCGACAGTCCCCAATGCTTCGATAGCTATTTCCGCCGATTTGATGGGCACAAATGAGATGAAAATGGTGTGGATTTGTGGATTGTCTGGATTTGAATTGGGTTTGGCTTTGCAATGCCATGTGATTTCAAGATTGAAATAGGTTCGGCTTCCGAGAGTGAACTGAGTAGACACCACTCCAAATGGAATCACACATAGGCTGGAAACAGCGCAGCGGGCAAAAGGTAACAGCATTGCCATGGCTTTACGCACGTCTTCAAAACCAATTCAAAAGTCAGCATGCATGCTTCACCTTTGGCTCAGGGTATATGCTTAGCATTGGCCCCATTTGCATTACATTTACTGTCCAAGATGGTGACGCCCGTGCAAACGCTGGGTCCTTTGGAGAGTCTGTAGGTTTTTCCGCACATCTTTGTGTGGGGTTCTTGTTTTTGGTTCTGTATCCCGCCGCCTCCTTCCGCCTCCGCCTCCTCCCGCCACCTCCTCCACACACAACTTGCTCACACACACCTTGTCCTCACACATCTTGTTTGTCCTCACCAACTTGTCCTCACACATCTTGTCCTCACACACTTTGTTCACACACAACTTGCTCACACATACCTTGTCCTCACACATCTTGCCATCACACATCTTGTCGTCACACAACTTGCTCACACACACTTTGCTCACACACACCTTGTCCTCACCAACTTGTCCCCACACAACTTGTCCTGACACACTTTGTTCACACACACAACTTGCTCACACATACCTTGTCCTCACCAACTTGTCCTCACACAACTTGTCCTCACACAACTTGTGCTCACACAGCTTGTCCTCACACAACTTGCACACACACACACAACTCGCTTGGGCCGGAGTGGACGGGGTGGACGCCGCGGCTTTTTGCGTGGCAGTTACTTTCACGTGGCAGGTGTAACACTTGGCGACACCCACCTGCGCTTTGCGTGGCAGGCGTGGCACTTGGTGACACCCACCTGCGCTTTGCGTGGCAGGCGTGGCACTGGGTGACATCCACCTTCACTTTGCGTGGCAGGCGTGGCACTTACGGCACTGGGCGGGCTCTGGTGGCGCAGCGGGTTCCCGTGGGCGCCGCGGCGTCTCGCGTGGCAGGCGTGGAACTTGGCGACATCTATCTTCACTTTGCGTGGCAGGCGTGGCACTGGCAGGCGTGGCACTGGGTAGGCTCTGGGCGGGCTCTGGTGGCGCAGCGGGTTCCCGTGGGCGCCGCGGCGTCTCGCGTGGCAGGCGTGGCACTTGGCGACATCTATCTTCACTTTGCGTGGCAGGCGTGGCACTTGGCGACATTCACCTTCGTTTTGCGTGGCAGGCGTGACACTCGGTGATATCCACCTTCACTTTGCGTGGCAGGCGTTGCACTTACGGCACTGGGGCTCTGGTGGCGCAGCGGGTTCCTGTGGGCGCCGCGGCGTCTCGAGTGGCAGGCGTGGCACTTGGCGACATCCACCGTTTTGCGTGGCAGGCGTGGCGCTTGGTGACATCCACCTTCACTTTGCGTGGCAGGCGTGGCACTTACGGCACTGGGCGGGCTCTGGGCGGGCTCTGGTGGCGCAGCGGGTTCCTTGCGTGGCAGGCATGCACTGGGGGGGCTCTGGGCGGGCTCTGGTGGTGCAGCGGCTTCCCGTGGGCGCCGCGGCGTCTCGCGTGGCAGGCGTGGCACTTGGCGACATCCACCTTCGTTTTGCCTTGCAGGCGTGGCACTGGGTGACATCCACCTTCACTTTGCGTGGCAGGCGTGGCACTAGGTGACATCGATCGTCACTTTGTGTGCAGGCGTCGCACTTATCCCACACACACACAACTTGTCCACACACAACTTGTCCTCACACAACTTGCTCACGCACAACTTGTCCTCGCACAACTTGTCCCCACACAACTTGTCCACACACAACTTGTCCTCACACAACTTGCTCACACACAACTTTTCCTCACACAACTTGTCCACACACAACTTGTCCACACACAACTTGTCCACTGCACAACTTGTCCACACACAACTTGACAACTTGTCCACACACAACTTGTCATCACACAACTTGTGGCCGTGGCAGGCGTGGCGCTTGGCGACATCTATCTTCACTTTGCGTGGCAGGCGTGGCACTTGGCGACATTCACCTTCGTTTTGCGTGGCAGGCGTGGCACTTACGGCACTGGGCGGGCTCTGGTGAACATTAGAACATGATTACATCAGACCAAGACAAGATATGCCACATGAGACGGCTGTTTTGGCATGCCGTGTGCGGAAGTCGCTGGTTGGTCGCTTGCCACCTTTTTCGGCTAAGGCCTCATTGCATATTCTCTCCAGAACTTGGAGGAAATATCCTATGAGGCCTGGGTTGGGTAGATCATTGACTCCCCCCAGGAGGTTGGGTGGTTGGGGAGCCCCACTTGGAACGATATCCAAGTGGGGTCGCGTGACAGCGACAAGAGGGCTCCGAGGAGCTCACTGGGTCAATCGGATCATAGCGATGGCTGTCGGGACAACTTTAGACCGCCAGGGCTTGTCAAACTTCAGACCTTTTGATACCTGGGCTATTGCAAAACTTCAAGAAGTGCATCGTCATCGCGTCTATCTGACAGTATCGTAACTACCTCAAAGCCGTCGGCTGGACCATCCAACTGACGACATTGGGAATTGAGACTGTTGGATACTTTGGCACAATTTGGAAAAGCACATAAAAAGCGCCGATCGCCTTTCTGGCTTAGCAATGTGAAACTTTTGGCCAGCACGGATTGACGCGCCGTGCGAAGATCCAGCGACTGAACGCGGCCATGCGATCGAAAGAAAAGACGGCGTTCATGCCAGCTCAGAACAGGTTCCGTGCAATCAGTTTCATCTATTCTTGTGTTGATTGCTTTCAGTGGGAGCTACATTGCTGCACTTGCCGTAGTCGCTTGGCAGGTCCAGCACTGTGGTACGCTGTGATCTTTGATCGCACTGTTGCTGCTGATTCTGCTCATGTGTGCAATATCAGTCTGTGATTCTGAAACTGACAGTCTTCATGATGACGTCGCCTTTTCTTTACAGATATGACAGCCTGTTGTTTTGTGCTGTTCTACCAGGTACCGACTTCATCGCGCAGATGCTGCCGTTTCTGAACATTCTGTTCGAAGCAGTGGTCACAGCAGTGTACAGCAGTGGTCACAGCAGTCGCTTGGCAGGTCCAGCACTGTGGTGCTGTCATGCTCTTTGCTAGTATTGTTGCAGTTGACTGTGTTCATGTGTCTGTTATCCGTTATCAGTCTGTGATTCTGAAACTGCCAGTCTTCATGATGACTTCGCCTTCAGTTGACAGGAATGACGGCCCGTTGTTTTGTGTTGTTCTCTGCCAGGTACCGACTTCATCGCGCAGATGCTGCCGTTGCTGCACATCATGTTCTGTAGGAAAAAAGCGTGCTTTCATCGATACGCAGATGCTGCCGTTGCTGCACATCATGTTCTGTAGGAAAAAAGCGTGCTTGCGGCGGATACATAGATACGCGCATGCATATATACAGCTGTTTTTACTTCTCGATCATTTTCACCACCTCCGTTGTCTTTCCTTCCTGCGAATGCGCCACCTGCGGAGGCGGCGCCAGAGTCATTGCTGATGGCGTTAGTCGTTGTTTAAAAAAATGCCGCAGTGATGCCTGCGGATATTCACGCACCTTCTGTGTCTAAGGCAGACATGCACACACACACACACCTCACATACAACTTATCACCACACAACTTCCTCACACGCAACTTGCTCACACACAAATTCCTCACACACAACTTACTCACACACGGCTTCCTTCCTTCTTGCGCACGCCGATCCTTCACCATCTCTTTTCTCTTTCCTGCATTCCCCATGCCATCTTTACCTTTCTTTTGCTGCTTGTTGGAAGAAGTTGACATGTGGGGTTATCCGGTCCTTTAATTTCATCAAGAAAGCGTCATTGATGTTTAATGATTTCTTACGTATATCAGTTGATATCATGATATCACCAGAAAGTCCTTCGCCGAGAATTCAATCTTCTGTGCAGAGGTGGGGCGCGCTCGGAAACACGGTCCCAGAGCAGAAAGAGTTTGGTGTTCGGGTCTTACTGTGATTGTGGTGAAATGGTTTGACTGCCTTTTCACGGCCAAGATCCAAAGGAACCCAAATTTAAGCAACATTAATAAAGATGGAACAATGGAACCCGCAGGAAATCCAAAAACAAGAGAAGAGCAAGTAGAGTGGATGACAGAGGGTGCATAGCAAACACTTTCTGTGCAATTCCAAGACATTTGCACTCACAAGACTGAGGTGGAAATAGCTACAGTAGTGGTTTTTCGTCACTGTTCAATCATTTCTTCTTCGCCCTTTTCATGTCTATCAGCATGTGGTCAGGAGAAACGTCACAATTCAGGAACAGTGGCAGATGTGAATGTGGTGTTCACACAAGCCCCCCGAACCAGTCAATGAAAGTCTTGACGGCCATGCTTTAGTAACGTTAGTACCATAACGGACAATACACCACAATACCATTTTTCGTGCATTTTCCATGCTATTTGCTTGAAGCTCAACGGCCCACCTGCTGTGCATCATCCTTTTCAGGACCGTTTCCTGGCGGTGCTAGCTTTTATTATGATAAAATCAACAAAATGACATTGCACCTGTGCAACTGGATAACGATATGCAACGATACTTCGGGCAGGAGGCTATACAGGCCTCAAGAACCTGACACCTAAACCTCCCAATGAATCAAACGGTGAAAAGGTGAGAAATGGCGTGAAAGCAGGCAGAAATCGGACGTTTCAACAAAAGAATATATATGGGTGAACACTTGTTTGGAGAGAGGACACTACAAAAAAGAAAGATCAAAAATGATACATAGCTCATAAAATCTCATAAAGATAAAGGGAACAATGCCTTGCAGCTTGTGGGATGAGGCAGAGACAGCTGCATATTTGGAGTCATACGAGGTGCGTGTTCGCAGTGATGTTCTCTCGCTCTCAGGAAGTTAAGGATCGTTGATAAGTCCTGATGCATCTTGATGCAATGCCATGCAGCCTGTGGAGGTCCACGACCTTTTCGCTCACTTGCTGCGGCAGGCGCAAGTCGATGTTAACAGTGTGCTGCCATGTACTGCCGTTGTTTTCGATGTTTCTTTGGATTCACGCATATCCGTCGTCAATCTGTCAACGGGACAACCGGAAGTCAATGCCAGGTCCTGGTGGAGCGGCCAGAAAACCCCATCAAATTCTTCCAGGTATGACTGTACTACTGACATGTTCACCGTGCCTTTTTCAATGCTTTCATCGCTTTCTGGGCCGCATCATTCTTGCGCAGGAGTGCTTGAAAGAGCAACCCAAGCTTTGCATTTGCATCATGGGACCACCTGGAGTGAATCGATCCAAGTATTGTCAGCAAGTTGCAGCTGTCGCTGTCTCAGCGCAATGAGAAAACACATGAACTATCGTCAATGAACTATTTAGACAAGCTCCAAAGGCCGGCCCATGGCAGCGCATCGCACTCCATTGCATGTCTGGCGGACTTGGTCCAGCTCGATTAGGATTAGTTGTGTTGGTGGGCTGGTTGCCCAGTCGTGGCAAAATGTGGCAACGTGTTTTTGGCGCTGCCTAGGACTACAAACTGAAGCATGTGCACGTCGGCAAGCTGTTGAGGCTGCAAGCGTACACGTGCAGAGCACGCGTGTCTCGAGATCCATTTTGCTTTTGTTTCTTTGCTTCAGGATGTCGAAGTGCAGAAAACACTTCTCCCACAGTATATAATCGGTCTCATGTGAAGGAGTTCAATGACAGACTCCTCACACACTGCTCTGCTTTGCTCTTGCTTCACACTCTCAAACAGAGACATATATTCAGAGGGACTTTTCCAGACGTGTCCTGCCACTATGTCCAATTTTCAGGGCCAGGAAGGAACTCAAAGACCAGATCAGTGGTGGGAAACTGGTCGCTGATGATGTCGTCATCGAACTTGTCAAGGTGCTTGGCTAGAGGGGGAATAAAGAGCAGTTTCATCAAGAGTTACAACGCTGTGCATAAGGGCTTTAATTTGCGTAGCTCATTCCTGGGCTGATCTCTTGCGTCAACTGCCGGCTTGGAAGTTCATTACGCGTCTAGAGGACGAACTGCGGAAAGCAAAGCATACTGGATGGGTTCTGGACCTAGTTTTTGCATATTTTTAGCTCATGTCTCGCTGGAAAAAACATTTTCCTGAGTGGTGCGCTTAGGGGACCAAAAGACATGGTCTTCCACGGTTCTTGATGAGCTCGTTTGCATGTTGCCCAGGTGTTAGACGGATTTCCCAGAACAAAGGTGCAAGCCCTATCACTTGTTGCAGCAAGCAAGGCCGGACATGTTCAGCAACAGGCCATGATCAATGAGATCAATGAGTAGCAATTCCTGTTTTACATTGATTTCAGGTGTATATCTGTATATACATTTTGGAACGTCGGCCAATTCATGACTTGGAGGAGCTGGGAACAAGCTTGGACACTGTGCTCATGCTGCACAGTGGCGAGGACTGTGCACGCTAGGCAGTTGGAAGTCAGAAAGCCCATCGATTTCGCTGATTTTTCCTGAAATGTATAACGCTAGACGCTAGTTGGCTCTTTTTTGCACTCCCTGTTTTAGCAGTTTTTGAATTGTGTGCACACATAGCGATCCGCTGAAACCATCACGCATTCGACCACGTTGCCAAATGAAGCGAGTACACTGGACACACACGGGACGCACACCACTTCTACTTGCATTGTTTTTCCCTCTTTGTGGCAAGAGGCTAAGCCAAGAACCCCATCCGACATTTTTGACATGTTCGACAATTTCATGTCGAGGTCTGCACGTTTGCTGCAATCTGCTCTTTTTTCAAATTGAACAATTTTTCTTCAACTATTTGACTTCAACTGCGCTGGCTATGGCGATGGTAGCTTCTTGATACCTTTTCGGGTCTCTTCACTGACCCATTCCTGTCAGGTGTAGTGGAAGTGTTTTTGCACGTAAGATGCATTCCGCAACAAAATTTGCAATGACAGTTCTGAGCAAGCGTGTTACTCACGTCGGTTCGACAAGATTTCGTGAGCCCCTCGGGGAACACCTGTCTAGGCATATAGGATGTTTGATCCTTCGACCTGATCTCTGAATTTGCACTTTTAATCTAGTAATTTGTCTAGGTAAAGTGAAACAGTTGGCCTTTTTTTGGGTTTCTCCCAATCGGTCGTTCTGGTTATAGCGACGGACTTATACTTAGAACATCTTAGAACCAAAAAACAAAATATAACTAAGCAAAAAGAATCTTACTTAGAACCTTTATGCTTAGAACCCACACCCCTTTACTTAGAACCCCTATGCTTAGAACCAAACAATAACACACAAGTAATCACAAATATAATATACACCAAAGACCTGCCATACCTTCGTGCAGAAACGTATACCTAGAACCCCTAGGCCCTATACCTATACATCTCAAAAATACCAGTAGTACCGCACAAGGCGGTGGCGGAAGTTTCAAAAATAGGAAACCTATAGGAGAGGTTGGTTGTTGTGAATCAGGGATGGCAAAGCGAATCCACTGATGGACCGAAAGGTGCTTGAGGTCTCCTCTCTGTCTCTCTCTTTCTCTGACTATCTACTTACCTGCCAGCCTATCTTCTATGTATCTATCTATCTATCGATCTATCTATCTCTCTCTTTCTCTCTTTCATCTAATTACCTATCTACCTATCTACCTATCTACCTATCTACCTATCTACCTATCTATCTATCTGTCTATCTATCTATCTATCTATCTCTCTCTCTCTCTTTCATCTGTCTATCTGTCTAGCTGTCTACCTGTCGATCTATCTATCTATCTGTCTGTCTGTCTGTCTGTCTATCTGTCTACCTGTCTATCTGTGGTGCAGTGTCATTCAGTGTATTGTAGTGTAGTGGAATGTAGTGTAGTGTAGTGGAGTGTAGTGGAATGTAGTGTAGTGTAGTGGAGTGTAGTGGAATGTAGTGTAATTTCGTGTAGTGGAGTTTAGTGTAGTTGTGTAGTCGTAGTTGTAGTTGTAGTGTAGTGTAGTGTAATGTAGTGAAGTGTAGTGGAAGGTAGTGTAGTGTAATGTAGTGTAGTGTAGTGGAGTGTAGTGTAGTGTAATGTAGTGAAGTGTAGTGGAAGGTAGTGTAGTGTAGTGTAATGTAGTGTAGTGGAGTGTAGTGTAGTGTAATGTAGTGTAGTGTAGTGTAATTTAATGTGGGGGAGTGTAGTGTAGTGAGTGGAGTGTAGTGTAATGTAGTGTAGTGTAGTGTAATTTAGTGTAGTGGAGTGTAGTGGAGTGTAGTTGTGTAGTTGTAGTTATAGTTGTTGTTGTAGTGTAGTGAAGTGTGGTGTAATGTAGTCTAGTGTAGTGGAAGGTAGTGTAGTGTAGTGTAATGTAGTGTAGC